CATTTTATTTAATATGCTAATACTTGACTTTGCTTTATCTGAGCGCTGGAAAGATTGTAACATTCAAATTTACCTAAATTCTGCATTCATTTTTCGTTCCGAAGAACGGTCATAACTCGGCATCCAAAGGCGCTTGGCAGATTTGGAAGGCAGATTTGGAATCACCGCTTAATACTCTTCAAAACAGTATGGGTCTCATCTGGAAAGGCCACTTCGACTCGACAAGGTTCCCTTGTAAGTATTCCCACCATCCTTCACTATGAACATATTGAACAGGGTCAAGAAGCTGTAAAGCCGCATCTTCCAGTTTTTTGTATGATATCTTGATGATCCCCTCGGGTGTATGTCAAGAGGCGCGATTTTTATTGCCAGCTGGACAGCAATAGCACATATTTAGTGTGTTATAAGGTTTTGTGAGTATCTCAGAGTTTGAGGGAGATACATTAGATGGTAGCACGAATTGTTCAGTTTTTTTATTTCAAAAGCGATTCGGAATGAAAATGTCGAAAGTCAAAAACTCACGAAAATGCAATCAATAACAAATTTGTATTTATCTTGGTCGGATTTTCAGCGAAAGTCTTCAAGCTCAGCAATTGGTAACTTCAGATTACTAGTAAGCCAATGTACTTTGTCTGGTGCTCTTTGAAGATTTGCGTAGCCTTAAACTTGATTTTTGAGTTAATGACAGTCAGAGAAATCGCGCCTCTTGACCGTCTCCCGATCCCCTCTGCCCCACCGTCTTTTCTTCAAAGTCATTTTTCTTCCTTCGAAGTCAACAAAAAACTTCCAAAGTTATGTTGTTCGTTCAACTCAACGGTGTTAAGGATGTTGCTGATAAGAACAAATGATATTTCGGAGTCATGTATTTTGCGATGAACCACAAGTCGAAAGTTGGAGTTTATCGAATAACTCAATATTTTAAAAAATCATTTGTTCTTTCAGCAACATAATTAGCACTGTTGGGTTAGATAATCAGAACAACTTTGAAAAGTTTTCGTTAACTTTGAAGGTAAAAAAATGACTTTGAACAAGAGAAGTCCGGCCGCGGCAGATTATCAGTGGATCATACAAAAAGCCTGAAAATGCGGCTTGTACAGCTTTTTGCTCCCGTTCAAGATGTTCATAGTGAAGGATGGTAAGAGTACTTACGGATAGGTAGACAGCTTGAAATCCAGATATCTGGAGTTTCAGAATATGAAACCTTCTTCTGAAGCTATGATTGCCTCTCCGGCGGGAATGTTAATGCATGCGGTCTTAAGAGCTGTCAGATGATATGCGTTATATGATACTAACTTGCTTACCCGGCTCCGCCCGGCCCTGTCATTATTTTATTCGTAATCAGCATGCTCGATTACCCCCCTGTGCCAACTCCCAGCCCTGCAGCTCAAATTTTGCAAAAAATCGATAAAATCGATATCGATCGATAACGAAAAGTAGCCTATGACACCTGCCCGGTCCCGAAGTGTATGTGTGCAAAGTTTTGTCCGGATCAGTTCAGAAATGGAATTTTCTACTCGGAACATACGTACACTCAGACAGACATACAGACATACAGACAGACAAACAGACATTCAGCTTTATATATAAGATGCAATAACGGCAGCTCGACGCTTCTGACTTTGCAAAGTAAAACTTGGGTCATTCTGCGCACTCACTTTCTTCTCCATATATACGTGCTCATTCAAGCTATTGCCGAACAGACACAGTGGAAGAACACTCAGAAAGATGAGAATTTAATTTTAACACGTTGACGACGAGCCATTTTTTGAGGTCTGTGGGCGAAACGTTTCCGTGCATTCCTACGTCTGGCCGCATGTATGTATGCTTGCATCCATGCACAAAATCTAGAATTTGCAAGGCCCGCTCTTGTGTGGCAAGCTTCGCCCACTGGGCCAAAAATGTCGGAATGCCCAAATTTTAAGAATTCATACGAATTCCGCCACTTTTGAAAAGTGGGCGGAGCATTTCCATCTAGGGGGAGTTTGCCTGACGGTGGTCGGGGACTGGCTAATAGTTGCTTGAGGTTTTTGCGTTCATCTATGGCCTCAATCATGCTTTTATAAACAAAAAGAATCCTTGTGAAAAGCATGGGAGTTGTCGGAGTTTGCCAAAAGGGGAGGGGCAATTACATGAAGTAAATCTGAGCCTATGTTGATTATATGAACAACAAATGAGAGGATTGGACGGATTGTTGAAATTAAGGTTGCCGCGCACCATTGCGCGGCACTGTCGTCAACGATCTGAAGGCTTGCATAGAAGCTTAGCAACTCGTCTCAAGAGTGATTTGCCAATTTATCCGGTATTGTACACGTTAGTCAAAACCCACAAATTAACGGCTGCTGTCTCGCATCAAAGGGTCTTAAGAACTTCAAAGTCAAACTACATTGGCAATGACGGTGGCCCAACGGGTAAATCTTTTGGTATCTCAACACAATCTTGTCGCAGCTGCTAAAGTGCGTCCCCTCGCATATTTCCAACACTAGTATGTTTCTAAAGCGCCTGCGTAATACTCACGTCAAACCAAGATGCGTGGTAAAGTCTTTCAACGTAACCTTGCGCTACACTAATGTTTCGAGTGAACGATGCCCTCCAAGCAACTTCGAGCTCCTTCTTGAACACCAAGCTTCTTTGAATCTTCACGGTTTAAATATTAGAGGAATCGTGTTCAGTTTTTCGATGGTGCGGGCAATATCACAGCGGATTAGAGGTCTGCCATGGGACAACTTTTAGCGCTAACAATGACCTAGTTTTCTTGTCTAAGGTAGAGGCTCCCATTCTTGCGCGCAAATAATTGCTTTACTGCCGTTATGTAGACGATTGCTGCGTTATATGCCCGACATAATCTGAGCTTGACGCCTATTTCAGGATTCTCAATCATCAGTGCCCTTACATCAAAATGACACGTAAGGAACTTACCGACAATTGGCTACCGTTCTTAAACATTCAAATGCAGCTGTCGAGTGGCACTTTCGAAACGAGATGGTACCGAAAACCCAGTAGCAAGACTGTTATAGTGCACTACACTTCGGCCCAGTCTGCACAAGTCCAGAAGTCCATTGTAGACAATGTTTACAGGACAGCCATGAATGTTTCGTCGAGCAGGGAGCAAAGAGATTACTCGCTAAATCTAGCTGACCACATAGTTGGGTGCAACGGATACAGGAAACATTTTTAAGTCACACGTAGTCTGATCAACCTCGAGCCTCCAGAAACCGATGACAAAATCCCATTTTGTTTGCCATACATCTCGGAAGAACAGCAAGAGTACGAAGATTGATACATTAAGTGGACTTACAAGATTGGATAAGAGTGATGTACGTACCACCTTAAACCCCAAATGTCAGCTCATTCGTAATGTGCTTACAATATGTTGTGCATGAGCCCAGGGTGTGTAGTATGTCCATTCGGCAAAGAGAGCGACTGCATGGTGTCTGGATTAGTGTATCTTATCACTTGTCCCGCGTGTAGAGGCACATATATCGGCAGAACGGTGCGCCCTCCATGTACACCGTCAAGGAACATTTGGACCGTCTTGAAAAACTGAACCCGGCACAACTCCACTGCACATGCACCGCAGGCAATCCGGAATGACGCAGACAGATGTGAGGTGACGATCTTAGCACGCGAATCCGAAATCCTGGCACGCAAGATGTTAGAGGCGTTTTAAATTGCCGCCAAAATTCCAAATTTGAATAGGAAGGATGAGTGCATAGCCTTCACTAATGAGATGACCGCTTATCAGAGCCCTTGCGGCTTCTGAGGTCAATTTGAGGCCGGGCCATTGGGTGTTTATAAAGGTTAGAGCTCAGTAAATAGTATACGGTCTGCAGTCAAATAAATCAATTACTAATCTCGGTGTGAAGCTCAAGCAGTTCTCTAAGCAGTTGCCACAATGCCGAAGAACCGACGGTCGTACTTAGATAAATTCATGATACTTGTTTGGTTCAGGCAAATTTTGACTAACGTACATCCCCGCTGGGGAGAGGAGAGGAGAGAGGGGATGCGTCATATCTCGCTACTCTGAATATCTTTCTCCTACGCTCTCTATCTTGCTTATGAAGGTTCTCATACACTTCTACCTGCGCATAATGAATGCCAGTTACTTCCATACAAGATTTGTTTTTTTGCCATTGATCCTCAGAGAATCCTCAGGAGATCACCTCTCAATTGTAAAGCCATTTGTCTTCCTGAGAAGTCAATGAAAATGCTGCAAAATTGTACTGAGGATATACTAAGGCACTGCTAAACATGTTTATAGTAGAAATAAATAAAATCTCAGGATATCGAAATCTTCGATGAACCACTACTCGCGAGCTAAGAATTATCAAAAAATTCACAATCTTCAGATTCTATTTCTCCTGTAGAAAACATGCTTAGAGTGCCGTAGTACATCCTCACTACAATTTGCATTTTTTGTGTATGAGAACCTTCATAAGCAAGATAGAGGAAGAAGAAAGATAAGTAGAGTAGCGAGATATGACGCATCCTCTCTCATTGTCAGATGCCCTCGCCTCCCCAACGGTGTTTACGTGCATAAGGCCTAAGAGCAACATACTTTGCACCCAATGCAACCTTCTTATGTAGATTTATTTATTTATTTATTTATTTATTATTGCACGTAGTGCGCCAACAATTCAAGGTGCAAGTAAATCAATGACTAAACACAAACATTAAAAGTGAAAGCATTACTAAATGAGGAAAGATCCGATACAACAGTTAACCAGTCTAATTCAGTTGGACACTACCTTACTTCTATAACATAATGAGATCCTAGCAAAAAATCAACCACTACATAATGGCTTACTATGTTTGTGAGTCAGCCATTCTGCGTCATCTCCTATGATTGCAGTTTACCATAGATGTAAGATATAATAAGCAATAACTGAGGTGGGGCCAAGACCATAGGCACCCCAAAGGCAACTTCGCATCTATCTCTTTCCCTGTATCTCTATAATTGCATACCCCGACATAAAGATAAACATAATGGTAAATTAGCTAACCTGCTCGAAAAGCAGAACACATTCAAGGCAAAACTGGATTTGCAACCAAGGCACGGCACGCGTTGACGCCGATGATTTCCGCGAAAAGCGACAAACCCTTCGAAGGTCCCTGAGGTATGACTTCATCACGTAAGTGAAGAGATGGGAAAAACAAGTAAAATTAGCATGAAGTAACAGGCAAGGGGTCGAAGCTTGCGACGGTTGGACACTTATATACTCATGTTTCAAAAACTGGAAAGTTATGCGAAAAGGGAACTTACGACTTTGTTCATTCCGTGCCAGCACAGCGGAGATGGCTCTATCAGATGTGTCAGCAAACTGGCAGAAACTTGAGCAGGGCTCTCTTTTATGAATTTCTCACATTTTTTTACATCCCTGCCCATCGTGCGTTTACATGGAGGCAGCCAACATGAACGATAACTGTAAACCTGTATGCATTACGTAAGTCATATTACTCCCAAAGTCCATTATATGTATACCACTACCTTTGAATAAAGTAATCGTTGAAAGTTCGTGGCTTTAACACTTTTTTTTTGATCCTATCATTAAGTCAGCGAGAAACATGTTGCTGCTGACAACTACAGCAATAACAGGCGAATCGCTCTGATTTTGCAAAGAGCATCATAATAAGCAGCTGTTGTCATCCTGCCCCCTTTCTCTCCCCCCCCCCCCACCCCCTACACACCGGATTTAGTGCCGTTACATTGGCCCGTTGTAAAATGGCCATTTCTTTGTTTGTTGCACAGTATACTTGGAGAAATTCGAAATTTCTTATCGAATGAATGTTTCTTGAATAAAAATCGAAATTGAAAATGGAATAAACGATATCAAACTCGAAAATAAGAATTTCGAATAAATAATCGAAAAACTCCAATATAAAAACTTTCGGATTAATGAATTCCAAGTAAAATCGGAAAATCAAAAATTCGATCATATACGAACATTGGAAGTCGAATTTCGAATAATTCAAATGACTGTCGAATATCTAGGGCAACAATAAAAACCTGCTGACCTACCCGGCTAAAGCCGAATCATTCATGATCAGCACCCTCACTTACCCCTCTGTACGAATTCCCAGCCTCGAAGCCTAAAGTTTTTCAAAATCGATAAAATCGATAAAATAGATTCACGATGTGGACCGTCTTTGTCAGGATTAGCCTTTACTATAGTTGGTAGGCTGACAGCATAGCAACTGGTGTTAACATGTCTGCAAGCCTTGGTAAAAATCTTGATTGCACTGTGAACAAAACTATTATGCACTATATATTGACAAAACATTACTACGAGGTGACATAGCTGCAAAATCCATCAACCGTCTACTCCTCCACTACAGCTGCAGTGGCCTTTACTCAATATACACCGTCATTCGCGAAAAATCTTTAAGATAAAGAGTAGAGGTTGTGCAGCGTGACTTCTACAAGCAAGAGCGCTCACTAGTGTGAACCTTTGCGGATCAATAACATGAGCAACGCAAAAAAGAGGAACAGGCCTGTCAACACACTTTCAGTATATGACAGGGCCCGGCACAGATGGTTTGGGGTCAAACTGGACTTCGTTTTTGAAGTTAGAAGCAAGGGGATATCGTTTTTATAAGGTCCTGGGGGAAGCGCCGATAAAAAAACGACGAACATGTCAGGTTATACGAGTTGAACGTGTTCTTTCGCAAGCGCGCGAATTTCAAACGCAAGACTCAAACAAACAAATGGCTTGTTTACAGCACACAAACAATCACATGGCTCCGAATTTGGGCTATGTGTGTACAATATTACTCCAAAAGGTGGTTGTTATGTAAAAAGTTCCCAAAACTTATGTGTCCTAATATCCGTTCCCGAATTTGTTGGTTTCTAGACCAACCACCAAACCAACTGGGTTGGTTCGGAGCATAAATATCGGAGAGTTCACATAAGTTTTGGCTCTTCTTGATTTGGACGATTAGAACGGTCAAAAATCTATTATATAGTGAAGAAAGTGAACCAAACTATTGCATCTCCTCTTTTTTTGAGCCAGAAGTAGTGTAAATCTAGGCGTTGATAGATATTGCGCTCCAATCACATGCGGTACCTTTGGACTATGTGGCGAAAAATGCATCGCCAGATTGTTGAGACCACAGATTTGGTTGGCCAAAGAGGTTTTCAACATTCTGAGCACTAAAATGGTACCCTACCCAATGACAGAGCCTTTAATCAACTCGAAATGTTTTTTTCGCTTTTTTTGTTATATTAGGTAGCTTAGAATGCGCTTTTTTTCGCTTTTTTATTATTTTTTTTGATTGAATAAGGGTTTTCGTACTGCTTTTTACGTCAAGAGGGACTTCGTAAATTTTCGCGAAGTTATGGGGGACTTCGTTTCCAAAGATGCTTCAAACCAACGCGTGCCGGGCCCTGGTATATGATCGGACCATGGGTTTGAATTCGATAGCTGTTTTTTTTCTGCTGATTTGGTGTCAATAGCAGTGCGAATGCCTCATTGATCAAAAAAGCAATCAATCAAGATACACATCTATTATTATCGCAAGCATTTGGGAGAAGTGCGAGCTTCTATGCGCTCAAAGCTGATCACGGCTGCAAAAAGATGAATTATCGAGTTTTTTAGAAGAAAACGCAGGCGAAGCGAGCTTGATACCCAGCAGAAGACTCTGCAACAAACTCAAATGATTTGAATAGACTTCATTCGAATACGAACTTGAATATAACATCTCAATAAAACATTCGAATAGAATCTATTCGAAACCCGCTTTCTTGGTTATTCGAGTTGTTTTGATTACTCGAGTCGAATTCTATCTAAAACCCCCTTTTTTGTAATCTTTCGAATTTTATTCGAAAATATAAATATTAGGTTGTCAAGAAAATAATGTCGTTTTTTATTTGCTTGCTTTGACAAAGCAATCAGACTCAACCCAGCAAAGGATAAGGGGTACTGTTCGATAGAGCAAAGCAAGCTCTACAAGGAGGCACTCATGTCTTTGTGCCATGCTCGATCCACAGAGAGTCCGAACTCAAAATCTAAAGATTTCCAAATGCCCGGAAAATCGAAAAAAATCAGATCTTCGTCCAAATAATCTACGGACCTCCCTGATTTTCTCAAAGCAATGCTGAGCCGTTTTTGCATATGTAGTTCTATACTACAAGCCTAGGTAAGTATAACTGTATATTTTCAGCCCATTCCAAGCGGTAGTTTTTGAAAAATAACGAATTCGGATTTTTTCGTTTCAGTTTCAGTGCTAAAATCGACATTTCTCGAAAAGCACTGCTCGAAATAGGCTGAAAACCTACAGTTATGCTTACCGTTTGTAGTATAGAACTACATAAGCAAAAACGGCTCAGCATTGCTTGGAGAAAATCAGGGAAATTTTCATTTTTTCAGTTTTTAGTCAAGGAGAAAATACGGCAATCGCACATATTGATATCAGATATCGATAGTATTGATGTGAGCGAGTGGGAGGTCCGTAGATTATTTGGACGAAGATCTGATTTTTTTCGATTTTTCGGGCATTTGGAAATCTTTAGATTTTGAGTTCGGACTCTCTGTGGATCGAGCATGGCGCAAAGACATGAGTGCCATCTTGCAGAGCTTGCTTTTCTCTATCGAACAGTACCCCTTACCCTTTGTTGGGTTGAGTCTGGTTGCTTTGTTAAAGCAAGCAAATAAAAACCGACATTATTTTCTTGACAACCTAATACTTCGAATATCGAATTTAGAATGCGAATATATTCGAATGTTTTTATTCGGACCCAAGTATATTGCACAGTTTTGAATACGGCGCTGTGGAAATTCATTATTTGGACTCGACCCATATATAAAACGCGTGTGTGTGTGTGTGTGTGTGTGTGTGTGTGTGTGTGTGTGTGTGTGTGTGTGTGTGTGTGTGTGTGTGTGTGTGTGTGTGTGTGTGTGTGTGTGTGTGTGTGTGTGTGTGTGTGTGTGTGTGTGTGTGTGTGTGTGTGTGTGTGTGTGTGTGTGTGTGTGTGTGTGTGTGTGTGTGTGTGTGTGTGTGTGTGTGTGTGTGTGTGTGTGTGTGTGTGTGTGTGTGTGTGTGTGTGTGTGTGTGTGTGTGTGTGTGTGTGTGTGTGTGTGTGTGTGTGTGTGTGTGTGTGTGTGTGTGTGTGTGTGTGTGTGTGTGTGTGTGTGTGTGTGTGTGTGTGTGTGTGTGTGTGTGTGTGTGTGTGTGACCAAAATCGGAGAGCAATTTACAAATTAGCTCTTGAGGCAAATTTTTGTGCAGTGCACGCTACCTGCTGTGTTCACCGTAAGGGTCCACGCGGCTTTTTGACAAGCCAAACTAAATCGCTGTTTCAACTTTCTACAAGTTTGTGGAGTGGTTAAGCATGCAAATCCGCAAACCATAGACTTTGTCCCAAAACGTGAGCAAAAAGTCTTTTTTTCACGCAAAATCGGCGCCAAAAAAAGATTAATTGCTTAGATGGTTAATTTGCCAAGGTTTCACCTTAAAAATTGGGAAGATATTTGAACAGAGATTTAGAGATTTAGCTCCAGGTGATTATTATGCTTATGTCGATTATTAAACCAAATTTGCTTCAGCAACGCACTTAAAATCGCATATGTTCTTCGCAGAAAAGACTTTTCTCCCAAAATTACCGATCTTACATGGGAAAGCTCTAAGAATGAGCAGTTGTTCAAAAATCATTTGTAAGGGTCTATTGCACACTATTGTATGCCAGTGTAAACCGCTGCGAAGCAGAGGTGACGCACTCATATACAGTAAACCCTCTGTTTTTTTTCTTCTTTTTTTGAAGAGGATATCCCGACATCTTATGTGCCAAAGGCGACGAGCTCTGATTGTGAAGCCTGATTCATCTGTTTTGAGCGTGCTAGGATGTGTCGCTGATTCGCTCGACTGTTTGCAAAATATCGATTTCGCTGTCCTTTGATATTGCAAAGCAATAAAAGCAGTATTGGTCATATAGTGATCAATATCGCTGCTCGTGGTTTATTCATTGATGCTTCCTGTGATTTCTTCTTCAATCTTGTCAGCCTCAATTGCTATTTTCTAAATCTTATAAGAAATATGTGAACGCTGTGACGACCGAAAGGTCTCTCTTTTGCACGAATTCGAGTTACGTACACGACATAGATTGATCCAGATTGGAGTGCCAGTTGTCCCGACCGCATGTGTAAATAATTACGAGCTGTGATGTGCGACAGTGTAAAGCGTTCGCAGCGAAGCATTCGGCTAGCTTTCTCGGCCAACCGCGGCTCAGCACTTTAATGTACTTCCGACTCTTTCCGACTCACGCTTTCCCCTTTCATCAATCGATTAGTCGATCGTAATCTCAAAACTTTCAGCATGGATACCACGGAAAAAAAGAAGATCTTCTTTGAGGAAGCAGACAGACCTCCGCCCTCTTATTATGACGACAGTCTGGAGAGAATGCCGCTCAAGAAGATACCTTTTCAAACTCCTGATCCCGAAAGTAAGATTCGAACATTGATACAAAGTCTCTTAATTGACAAAGAATGAGTGAAAAGGACTCCGAATTTTTACTTTAGGTTCCTTAGCAGGCTCTGTTTCTAAGAGACGTGCTGAATTTTTCCTTATCTTCTTACTGTCTCTTGAAACTTTTTCACAGTGTCGAGCGTTTGTTAGCAACAGAATTGGACTGAGACTATTTGAGTTGCTGAGTTTTGTTCGACAGAGGTGATCAGCGGTGGCAGTACCAAAATTTGGGAGAGGGAACGGTATTTTTGAAGGGACTTGAGGAGCCTCCAAAAAAAATTTTGTAGTCTTTTCCAACTTTTAAATTCTCATACCCCTACATTTCAAATACAGTGGTGTGAAAAATATTCGAAAGTTCTTAAGAACTTCATTCACATAGATTTAACTTTGGATTTTGTATAACATGAGCCGCTAACAAGTTATTCTGAGTAATGTTCAGGCTTTGGGCATTCCTACTCTTTCAGGAGTAAGTTATTTCAAGCTCTAGATTTACAGGCTCCTATGGACGCTTTTCTTGATTACAAGGACTAGCTTTAAGAGCAACATTTTTGCTTCGTGCTCTCATTTGCCTCATACAAGCTCCTTAGACTTTAACAGCTTTTCAGTAGATGACTTCGGTGGCAATTCTGATTTTTACACGCCCGCTGCAACTTGCTTAAGAGAAGTTTGTATTTGTTTGAACATTTATTTACTGAACCATTAAACTCTAACATAAGATATTTCCGCAACTTTATATAGGACCTATAAGAGACAACAGGCTCTGTTTCACTCAAATTTTGCAACCCCTTCATTCCTCACATTCAAATTATCGTTTTAATTGAATCCGTGTTTTTATTTGGGCTGTCCTGCGCTCAAGATCCTATAGGAATTGGAAGTGAGTTGTACACAATTTCTACACAATTTCCTGGAGTTTTGGTTTTTTGATAGAACACAAATTTTAGAAAAGAGGCTCAAAACTAATTGAGATTGATTCAAAAAGTAGATCCTAAACAGAAAAGATATGAAGGAATTCCTGATGCAGCGCCGCTTCCTCTTCCTAGCTACTCATTTCGGAACCGAAATGTTTGTCTACAATCCAGGATAAGTGCAGCAGCTTGTACAGTCGTTGTCACCAATAACTTTCCTCAAGCTTTACTTGAAATTCGTAACACAATCAAGAAAAAAGTTTTAAAAAAAATCTACCGATTCTATTATAAACTTTTTATGATGCTGCCCTGCGAAAATCTTGGTCTTTGATGACTTATGAAAATATGACTTTTAACTGCGAAACCTGCAAATTCAGCATTTTCAACAGTGAACCACAAGAAGTCGCCCAATACATACGCAATTTTGTGTAACTCTCCTACTCTAGTTGCTTGAAAAATGAAATCTCGACTGATCAATTCTAACAAGACTTTCTCCTAGGTGCTTGATATAATTGGAAAAGCTAGAAAGCGCTCTTTATGAAAAGTTGTGAAACGAAGAAGGCGAGAAAATCTGGAACACCCCAATATAGTTTTGATACGGTTCTAATGATGCAAGTTGATAAAATGAAAGTTTCAAAATCTCCAATAAGGAATTTTAGTCATCCGTTGTGCAAGACAACACGTTTTCGACATCACCTTATTGTGTTTCCAGTATTCAATTTTGTTATTATTGCACCGACATGGGTCTCCCCCCATGTTAATGAATCTAATTAACGCCGCTTTCAAATGGAATGAGTACTCACTGCCTCACAGTAGCCTAATAATATCTTTGTTCTGAGCTGCCAAAAAAGCACTATGGCCGTAGTAACCCCCCCCCCATCATGGCATCTCCTGTGAGGCGGACCTGAGTTGATCGTGGGGCGCCTCAGTCCAGCATCCCGCGAGCTATTGATCTCAATGTTGATCGTTTCATATAAAAATGACAAGGATGCCTGTTCTCAAGGAAGAAACAGCAACGCTGTTTGTTTGGGTATGGTCAAATGGATTACTGATTGAGATGCTACGCCAGCGACCATGGTTCGGAATCATCCAGGGGGATTAGTTTTGCGGCATCGGCACGTAATCATTGATGATAGCGGCCAGTAACAAAAAATCGATGACCGCAATCGAAAAAAAAGGAAAAAAACTAGTTTTTCCCATTTTTGGCTACAGTCAGCTGTTCATCGACTTTTGTAATCCGTAGGCCCCCGAAAATGTGCAGTATCGCGTACTTTAACCCTCATAATACAGGGTGTCCCAAAAAAATGTTTCGAACGTTTGATCGTTAATATCTCTCTTCCCAAGAAGTCTTTTGCCTTGCTTCAAGTACCGTTTTGTAGAGCTCGCTTCAACTTAGATTTGCGTTATAAAACGAATGACACATCTCTCTTCATTACTGTAGGATTACGGTAGAAACTTGAAACATATGGTGTCAATGTGGAAAAAGCTGCCGTTTCAAAATTTTTCAAAAAATTGTGAAAACTTGTGATAGGGTTTTTATAGACGCTGAGTTCAATACTCAACTATTCACAAGATTACGAAGCTTTCTAAAGGGTGTAATCGCACTTTTTAGGAACATTGAAAAAAAGGCCGCTACCTCTCACCTGGCATAACTCTTCAATGAAGCATCATAATAAGTTGGGAACTTTGCAGTTATAATCAGCAATTCTAATTAGCCTGGTGTAAAAGTTTTCAGGCTGTTTTGTTTCCTTTCTGAGGCAAAATATGGCCTTTCATGGTTCAAAACCCTCTTTGAAGTTTCTACCGTAATCCTACAGTAATGAAGAGAGATGGGTGATTCGTTCTATAATGCAAATCTAAGTTGAAGCCAGCTCTACAAAACGGTACCTGAAGCAAGGCAAAAGACTTCTTGGGAAGAGAGATATTATCGATCAAACGTTCGAAACATTTTTTTGGGACACCCTGTATGTCACAATATGTACTCAGGAGCAATTTACGGGATTTTTCTCTGCATTTCATCCTTTGCACACTATTTCGGTCAATTCATCTCAAAATCGACGATGCTCTTACGAAAATCAGGTGAAATCACTGCGGCACCTGCCCTGACGCTCACCCGTCAAATCAGGTCGCATTCTTGAAGGCAGTGGATCGGCAAAACTTAAGAACGCAGGATTTTAACGCAGTAGGTGGTTGAGATTGGCCGAGCCACTGCCTTTAAGCATGTGAGAGTGACTGCTGGTCAGTTTATCTTAAAAACCTCAACTGAGGCCCAGTTGAGATCATTTGGAGTGAAGTGGGTTTACTACTGGCCTATGTCTCGTTTTTTACATGTCTGAAGGAACTCCATGCAGGTTTCCATCATTTGAAAAAAAAAGAGTTGAAAATCCTGCAGTGATTCTGCACTAGCACTTGCAAGACCTGTAACACTCAAGTTTTCACTTCAGCCGTAAATTTGTTAGGTTTGCCTTGCTTCAGTTCCTGCATAGCTTTCTCGACACATTCATTCACAAATTCACATAGTCAAATGAAGCTTTCTGCGATTAGAGAGAAAATTATTAAAAGGAGTACATCATAAAATAAGATCGCCAATTGACTTTCGCATCTTATCGCTAATCCATTGATTCTCACATCGAGATCTAAAAGATGGTTTTGCCACAACTGAACTCTTCAAGGAACAATGACTTGGTTTTTTGCGAACTAAGGATGAAAGATCAAGTGGCTATTCCCATTTCTAAAGAAAAACCACCCGAAATCACTATGAGTCAAAATAATGCGCAATCGCTTTGACTGAGAATGCCGAACTACTTAGTTGAAGGAGAAATCTAACACGAATTGGAATGCAAAATGAACTAATTGGTTTTGTCGTCCTTCTTCTATGTTCTTCCTTCTTATCGGCTTCCAAAACATTGCCTACCTCTAATTGCACGCGTAGTACGAGTAAGTGGAAGAGTGAGAGCACTTGTTTTTTGTATAAACTATGATAAAGTTGACTCTACAGAGATTTTCTTTTAGCTGCAGCAAGCATGTTCTTAAATTTATCAAAAACTCAATAGTTTGAAACTGAGCATCTATCGCCTCTCCTTATGAGGAGTATACAATACCCCTCGTTTGTGGCAAAAATCACCGCACTCCACCGGAGTTCCCCGTTGGTTGCATCGCCATATCTTGCTTCGCAGTGGACGAATTCTCAACCTAAAAGCATCATTTAATTGAGCTCGACGAGACGCATATTTTGGTGCATGGATGCGCCTGTTTGAGCGTGATCGCTCAAAATTTCTAGATTCTTGCTTACGGTAGGTACTCAGAGTGTTGAATGCACAACGGCCAACTACCAAAGCAAAAATCTGGAAAGGTCCTTGAAATCCGACCTATTATCGTGCTTAAATAGGCAATTCCTTTCATCAGAAGATGTTGAGCAGAGAATGGCGCTTTTGGATTAAGAATTCGTCCATTTCGAAGCAAGATATGGCAGTGCAACCAGAGTGCGGCGAACTCCGACAGAGTGCAGTAATTTTTTTCATAAATAACGAGCGGTATTGTATAGTGTGGACCCCGGGCAGCTTCCCATAGGTACCTGCGCGACGCACCCGCAACGCACGCCTCCAGTGCGTCTCCTGTGCTAGCTTCTGATGGAAATCCTCCTTTCTCTCCTTTTTTTTGTTTTTGGTGTACTGTATTCTCTCTATTTTAGGTATTAACAATTCGCGATGACCGGTGACGAGATTTCACGTGCTCTAATAGATCTAAGAGCTTCAGTCTTGTGTAGTAGTCTTGTGTTTTCCCTTTTCTATGAAAAATTGAGATTTGATTGGATATTAAGATAATATTCTTTCAAAAGCTCTTCTTGTATAAAATAAGGGTCCCTTTAGGTTTGATGTGTAAGGTGTAGACAGTGTCTCAAGTCAAAATTGAGCCTTCCGAGAAGCCAGTAGGCATTTTTTTACTGAAATGTCCACTTTTTTGAAATCGTTGACCACACTAGTTTCTAAGTCTACGAAGAGAAATGCTTTGAGAATGCTGTTATTCTTTAATTTCTTTACGTATACTTATTACAACCTATCCATCAGTACAAGTTCGGAATATGCATCCATTGATTGAATTTGAGGTACTCATGGAGGTTGCCTGCGTTTCGATCTTGCATACGTCTCTTTCGAAGTGAACCTAGAGGTTTCCACTTTGCATTTTTCTCCTTTGTGAGCATAAATGTGCTCTACTGCTCATGAGTGAGGCAGGACGCATTGAGAAAGGCGCGCGCTGCGTGCGCGCTGCGGGAGTACTTATGGGAACCTGGCCGGGGTCCACACTATACTTTGGTCCTGATCGAATAAGTTCGACCATTTGAATCAAACATTCAATAGTTCGTACTCAAAAATTGAGACTTGAATATTTCCATTTTCAAATAAATCTCGAAAATTCAAATGTTTGGAAATCGAGATTTTAACAATAATTATTCAAATTTCTGTTCAAATGTCTCATTCACATTCGTATTCAAATTAAATTTGTGTTTAAATGCTTGATGCAGAGCCATATGAACCGAGCTGGATATGCCAGCAAGTTTAAATGACTGTTCTAAGTTATTCGAATAAATCATTCTAATATTTAAATAATACATTCAAATGATTTATTTGAATATCTACTCTTCGAATAAATCATTTTGATATTTATTTTTCGGTCCCCAATATTCGAATGATTGATATACATACGAAATTTTTGATTTTCAAATCTTATTCGGTATTCTTTCAATCGATATTTTCGAATTTCGCATTCACCTGGATTCTTTTATTCTATAGTTTACTTTTCGAATTCTTCCGTTATTCATTCATTGATGAAAATTTTGAATTTATTACGGGAGAATTCTAAGAATAGCAATGAAATGAGGGCTTCATCGCTAAATTTTGATTTGCGGGTAGAAATTCCACCACAATCACTTCAAAAGTAATTTCTAGTGTGGTCAAAAAACATCTTATTATTAGAACAACTTAAGCAAAATATTTTTGCACGCTTCCCCTTTCTCCGGGTAAGTGAGCGGCGGCAGCAAAGACGAAGTGAATGCACTGTTTGCCATAGCTCATCTCCTTCGCCATGCATGAGAGGATTAATGCATACGTCGGTGCTCGCGAACGTTCCCCTCAATTGCTGAAATTAGTCGGAAATCGATTTCAAGTCTTCTCAAAAATTCCCATATCTTATGGGAAACGTCAGCAGACTTGCAGGGTGGTAAGCGGTCAATGAATGTTGGTTTGTAAAGATGCAGAGTTTTGATGCAACTAAAGGAATGCCGCTCTCAAAGCTAGGTGATACTTCCTGAAAGCGCCATTATTGACTTGGTAGAAGGTGGAACTTCCGCTTTGAAAACTAAAACATCATTGAAGAGTTTTAGTTTCTTTTTTTTCTTTAGAATTTTTTTGCACGCCTAATCACAAGGGGAGCACAGCGAAGATGGTTAGCAAAATTTGTTTGCAGATCTCATTACAGAGATAAAAAACGGAGTTGCCTGATTAGCTATGACTTTCTAATTTTCTGTGTCTTGATTTATTCAGGAGCATAGACATTTTATGGTGATCGATGCCCATATGCTCCATCCCTGACGAACTGACTGGCAGATTACGGCAAATGCTCGCTGAATGTCCATTTTTGGGTTTAAACAAGTGCGAGGGGCTACATCCTTTTTCCTACACACTGGCATACACTTCAAAAAAATGGAAAAGTTCCTGGTGGTGAATTTGACAAAAGCGAGGACCTGAAATGAATAAAAAAAATAAAATAATAAAACAAAAAAATGTAGTTTTAAGCTTCCTCCTAGACCGGGAAAATATGTATGCGGATTAACAAGTCTAAAATACATATGAGTCAGAGTGCACTAGGAGCAGCAGGGAGGAGCTTTAATCAACATGTTTAGTGAATGCCCATGAAGGGACAGAGTGCGGCAAAAGTCTGGGAGCCTAGTACTTTTTCATATAAAATGGGAAGGGAAGCACCTAGAAACGAGAAATTTGGCGCAAACATAATTCGAACCATTGCAGATACAGCTCAGTGTTCTTGACTTTCGAAATCGCCTCTTTTGGCTTCCACGCAGCCCTACAAAATCTTGGCAACTTCACCTGTCATGACATGCAGGTAGTCGTAATGGAATTCGCCCCACGCCTTCGCAATAACTGCTTCTTTTACCTTGGCACATGTGCAGCACGATAGAGCAAGCTTTTATCTACAATATGCTTCCAAAAGAGTTTTTTGCATTGCTTAGGAATAAAAATATTGGATTTCTAATTAGAAGCATGTGTACGTCGCATATCGGAATTTTGGCTACAATTGCGCGAATAAAAACTCAAAATTATCGTTTAAAAAGTACGAAAAGTGTTCCCATGGCCGAATTTTAACAGATTCTAATTTAGAAGACGTATGCAAAAAATACAGCCTTGGTCCCAGTGCCTGTTAAGCATTTTATAGCTTTTAAATTTGTTGTGAAGACGGATCTCCACTGGCAAGTAGGTAACATTCGCAAACTTTTATTTTCCGTTTATGCAAGAACGCTCCTGGCAAAAGCAAAACTGGGATACAATAGCGCAAAGCCTCTTCTTTGTTGTATGCATCGAAGTTTTGTAAAATATTAACAGCATCTCCAACTACAGCAAAAATTGTAAATACTAAAAATTCTGGTTTTTTCGCTTTGCAAATGTACTAGTTTGGTAACCATTCTTACAAAAACATGTGGCAGCCATTTGCATCCAAATAAAGCGTATGTTATAGAGGATGACAGCATCATGTGGCATAAAATTGAAATCAAAACCACCAGTACTTTTGTAATTGCAATAGTGCAAAGTTAGGCTCCCAGACTTTTGCCGCACCCTGTAAATATGGAAGTGTTACCCGCTTTTCAGTGAAGTTTCTCAAATACTAACAAAATATTCCGATATAAATCCATAAAATCCGAACATCTTAAAATTTGTCAGATTTGCTAGATCAACTTCAACTTTTGTATAATACCATACTGCAGAATGGCTCAAAGCACCCGAGTTTGTACCAAGAACAAAGATGCTGGCCGATGCATTTGCACCGACACCTCCAGGATTTCAGTCAGACATCTCGCCGTTGACGGAAGTCCCATTTGTACCAGTCGGACATCTACCACATGCACAAATTGCAAAATGTGAGTCCCACCTATGTATGCGATTGCATTCACTTTATCAACCCAACGGTATTAATTCATAATGCCCAGGTAAGAAGAAGAAAAGGTAAAGAAAAAAACCACTTTCCTGTCTTTCATAGTATGTTGCCTAAGGCTGTCTTGATAAGTGTTCCGAACCTTGGCATCGAAGTGTGTAAAACAAGCCTGTTGGATAACAGCGCGCAAGCCGCGCTTGCGAACTTGTGGGCGCTTTGCTTGATGTTTCCGGAAAGTGGACGTCAGAAAGGCACATTGACATTAGGACGTCCTGTACTGACATTAGGACGTCCTGTACTTAATCGAAGTGATGTTAGCGATTGACGGTCCCGGCCACTTGTCCGGAAAAAACCTTACATCTTAGTATCTGACTATTATAACATGAGCATGTGGTTTGCTTGTCCTCCTCGCAAGATTTACAACACGATGAATAGAGAAAATTCTCGAGTTTTCTTGATTGTGAGCCTTTTTAATAACTGCTCTCTGCAGCACTGTGATAAGAACACGACTAATATCTGAAAAGAACACGCAGAACCATGTGGGTTTGCTTTATGAGATATCTGGCCATTCAAAAAATAAGAACTATGTTAACTCCCTAACAGAGTTCACTTCAGTGAATAGAAGGTGCAAAAGCTTAACGGGGGGGGGGTTAGGTACCCAGCGGAGGTGCTGGCGTTAGGTAGCTAGCCATTAGTACACTCACTCTAAAACTGGTAAGCAACAAGCGCCAACGCTTTAGCAAGTTAGGTGAGCTGTTCTAGCAGCTAGGATTCAATGTATCGTTAGGTACCCACTGTTAAAGCAAGTAAGGGCGTGGCTTAGCGTACACCACTGATGGTTGGGTACCTAAGGCCTAAGGCATACCTCGCGCGATTTCGTCAAATCGCTACATCCACGCGACTTGGCGGATCGCCAGATTCCTACAAACTAACCGTGCACGGATCTCGAATGCATAGGCGCGTAGCTTCCGTAAGCTGTAGCAAAACCGTCAAGTCTAACCCATGCAAAGCGCGCTTACGGCCGGATATGAAGAGTCGCTGCAGTGCCAAATCGCGCAGCGACTGGAATCGCGTGAGGTATGCCTCAGACCTAACGCCACGCACCCGCTTAACCCCATACTTCAAGGTAACGATCAGTCCCCACTGAGAACAAAACCGTATTCTTGATGTCAGATGGGGCAATACTGATTAACTTCTATTGTCTTGAGTCAATGTAGTTTGTGAAATTGTAACGGAATATACTCATTTTTTAGTACGAATGAGCTTTTATATTTGACCAGGGCAAAGAATAAATGTACTTCTAAAAACTTACTGCTTGCGCATGCATCATTCACTCAAAGTGCAAAAGTAAAGAAAATTATGGACTCAAAACTTATAATGTAAAGAAGCAGTAAGTCATTTTCGACATCTTTTTCCATTGGGAAATTATAAGAAAAGAATGAACAAAAGGTCAATCACATATCAATACTTATGCTTGCTCCCTTCTTTTCACCTAATGTCTATAATAATACCGTTATTTCAAAAATTATTGGAGCGAGATTTATTAACACGTTCGTCGGTGCTTATGAGGCGCCCCATAAATTTGTATTATTATTGATGATTATGTTTGTTCCTGTCTGCCAAATCCTCTAATTCCTGTATTGTCCATCCCTTCCTCTCAAGAGTGCCTTCAGATACCTAGGTCGACCTCGAGGTGGTATCAATGATATCCAGCTTTAGAAATTAAGTTAAATTTTTTAGATTTTTTTGAGTGGTCACTGAGAACTATGACACTCTTTGCATACACGTCCAATTTTCGGGCTGTTTTCCAGGCATTCTAGCCTATCTGAGTTGTTCGACGTAATGAAGAATGTAAAATGTATTTATTTACTTTTCCCAGTTAAAAACCTCTTTTTCTAAGTTCAGTTTCGAATGCAAATGAAACAAGGATAGGCATAGAGCAGGATAAGAGCTTCCGAAATATGCACATGCACAATGCCGACCACCGCAAGTGGTAAGATATCTGTCTGATATATAAAGAATCGTAAGCGCAATTTGAAGTGCAAATAGCGAGAAACCGCGTGGCTGTCCCGAAGCGAACGTTCTTCCGAATAGCACCTTCAGATTACTGGTTCACTAGTACTGCATTGAAAAATTACCACGTCGAACATGACAAATTGTCATCCAGATTCTCTATAAAGCAGGACCAAACGTTTTAAAAGCCATTCTTCAGTAATTTGTGTATAAATTCGCCGCAGCTAACGTGAATAAATAGGAAATTAAGGCGTGGCCGGACCCTTTATCCCGGGAGCACCAGCATCATTCGTACATCCGCCTCCTCCCTTTCCCCCCATGGTTCCGATGCCGCCTGCGGTCGCTGCAGCCGCAGCACCAGCCATGCCCGTAATTCCGAATGGTTACACTGTCAACATCACTAATTTGAATCGTGAGTTCAGTTTTACACATGCTTTGTCATAATCCTACGTCATTCAGATACTTGTTGATTTTTGCCTTTTGTAGGAAGTAAATGAAGACTATCAAATGTGTTTCAACCTTCGTAGGGTGTATCCAAACCACACACAGATTACTAGAGATCTATCAAGGCAAACACCGCTGCCACCCATATTTCTTCAACTTCTTTCGCGCTCGATAAATGCAATCCAATATTCTTTCCTCCAGCATAATACCAATGCAAGAGGGCCACGCTTTTTCACCATAAATTCTTACATTCTAAGTGACAGAAATGGCTCTCTTCACTGCGTACTTGCTCATGCCTGAACCTCTTAATTTCAAAAAATAACAAAATACTTATCTGAAAAGAGTAAAGATTTTTGATTAGCAACTTCCTTGGAAAAGCTCCTGAAATGTTACTGAAAGAAGAGTACATTACTTAATATCTATAGATTAAAAGTGATTGGTGTACTTGTCTGCGCATACGCCTTAACGAACGAGCTTTTTGTGATCTAGAGGAAAAATTTAGCTGTTATGTGGTCATTAATTAAGATCGATAAAGATTATGTCATTTTCATTCTCCAACATAATCTCAGAATTTCAAATTCATTTAAGCTACTTGCAGGGCTGGTAAAAGTAGAAAAAGTAACCCTACCACATTGTGGCTGAACAAATCATATGAAAGCTTACCTAGTGGCTTACGAAAGACGTCACAACTTCAGGATGTTGCTTTTCTCAATCCATTATCTCGCACCATATTCTTTCTCGTAGGAGCATGCTGCTCAACAAAAACCCCCCTCATAGATATGTTGACTATAAAACCGATATAGCCTACGCCATTTTGACTCCCACATGTCATTTATGCAGTTTTTTCCTTATACAACCTTGATTTTCCAAAGCGACGTGGTAGAACCGCTCTACAATAACGTTTTCAGGCTAGGGAACTTACTCGACTACTAGAGCTGATTTAACGACCAAAAAAGATTATTACTTTCAAATCTGCAACACTTACATTTGTGAACACTGTAATCGATTAGAGAGAGTGCACTAGCCAAGCGGGGAATTTCGTTGTTTCATGTCCATTTGATTGAAAGACTGTGAAAGATATCAATAATCCCATGCCACTAGGCCTTGCAAAGGTTCACAATCTAAATGTAGCCCTTTTATTGTCCTTGTTGTTAGATCTCCCACCTTTCTGCTGAATGAGTCTTGTTTATGTAATGAGAATGCGAGAAGCATCTGATCATCATCACCTATTCATCTGTTTATTCAATACCTACCACATGCGATTTTCGCCTTATATGTGCCATATAAAGCGAACATCGTTGAATGTCAAAAAGCATACAGCGCGGATTGCAGAAAGATAATTTCCCTCAGCTTGGTAGCGCCTAGCTGCAAATGAAAATCATGTTGGGTCTAAGACTGAGTATGATAAGTTGTTAAGTGGTTGATTATAGATAGGTTGTCATAGTCCTCTTCTGCAAAGAATTTCTCACATGTTGTCAAAAGCTCGCATTATGGCTATTCTGCGCATACCTAGGCCTCAATTTCATCTTCCTAATGCCTTGAATTTATCCACTATGGGATAGATTGAAGTGCAAAAAAAAAGCCTTCTAAAATATTTAGTTGTAAGATAAGTCCTGAGACACTCTAACTACTTATGCGATAAGTCATGCAGTTCACATGTTCAATGGGGGTCCAGGGCACCATTCGATAGAGCAAAGCAAGCCCTACAAGACTGTCTGCAAAAGTTCTCTCCAACTTCGGCCCTCTTTAAGTTTGGTCTAATATATGAGTCGTACTCAAGGCTCAGAAAATCACAAAAAATTCTCTCCGTTCGAAAAAAAAACCCTACAAGTTTTCATCTTTCTCACGATAATTACACACTACAGCAGACACTCATATGTACCGTTCCTTATTTTATTCCTCATTTAGTAATCGAAAAAAACGAAAATTCTCAAGTTTTTACAAAGAAGCTAAGCTGTTTCCACTTAATGCGTTCGACGGGGCCAGCGCCGCGT